GTGACATTCTTGGGTAGACATGGTCACTTCAGTTATGACAGATTTGGTGTTGTTGGGATAGTTGAAGTATACTAGTGATTGTACACACACAACTTTGCTTATGAGAACTTATAGAAGAGCTACTATGAATAGTTAGAACTATACGACAATCTTAATATTCATGTCATTATTGAGGTCACGTTCAGGCTATGTGTGATTGAATGTGGGGTGCATTGGGTCTAGTTCTGCTGTTCGTAAATATTTTCTACAATCATTGCTACTGATATAGCATTTTGACAGTGTTGTTAGAGGTTCTGTATAGTTGGGTGTATCGCTCATTGGGTGGTTGCTTGGCCATTTTGTTTTGGGTTAGATAAGTTGATCCTCCTTTGATGAGTATCTGATGTCTAAAGATCATATTTTTATAACTTAATTTCGTGGAAAGATTGTGTTATAAGGATGAAATCGTGATAAGGTCTATGTGGTTTATGAATTACGAGTGTGTAGTAATTGGTTCAGATTCACTTCTGGTTGTAGCCGATATTGATTTCAAATTTTATCGTGGCTATGTGAGGAAATATTTGTCTTGATGGTTGTGTTTTAGTTCAGAGGGTTTCGGTTCAAAATGGATTCATGTGTTAGTCTGTGGTTTGGTAATGACTCCTGATTTGTAGGTCTGCCAAAGTTTGATTCGAAAGTTCAGTTATTAGTAGTTGATCTTGATGGAATGGTCTTAAGGAGGAGCTCACTTGGAAAAATGAACATCGACTGGTAGGTCGTAACTCAAGCTTTTAGTAACGTCGGTTGATACTTCTTCTTCTTCTTCTTCTTCTTCTTTATGTTCGAGGACGAACATAATATTTAGTGGTGGATAATATAATGACCCGGAAGGTCATTTTTATAATTTTTTATAAAATTTCCATTTTTACCTCTCTCGATAGTTGTCCCGAGTCACTTTTGATCAGTTGGGGAAATGATTTTGAATTTTTTGAACTATTCGATAACTATGATAATTTAATTGATAGATAATATTAGAGAATTACTTAATTGGTGGTTAATGGGCTAATTTTATAATTTATTAATACCCTATACCACTTGGCCCATATATTATAAAATAGGTTAACTGAGATTTAACTCTGTTAATTCATTATTATTATTACTAAAAGAGATAAAGAGACCTGACCAAACCTATTGTTTTGCACACTACTGGGGAAAACAAAAACTTCCAGGTAAACTCTAATTTTATCTTATTTTGTTCACCATATCGATGATCATGTATGAAATAAACCAACATTACGTTATTTTGTGTGGGTTAGGAATGAAAATGCCAGCAATTTATATTATATAATTCATAAATTGCTTGAGCCACATTATGATTATTACTTGTTATTAGTACAGTTTTTTTGTTCACGTTAATTATGAAGAGTTAGTAATGCTAATGATTGGCCCAATTATTGGAAAGGTGTGGTATTATTACTTACATATGAAATTCTGCATAAAGAATGTCTATGGATTTAACAAAGGTCCCCGTGGTTTAGGAGCCAATTCACGTAATTGGCTTGAATTTTGGAACCTCCTCATAGTTATTATATTATGATTCAAGTTTTGATAATATTAGTATTGTAATTAAATATTAGACGTGTTATATTATATGAAAACTAGTAGGATTGTATTGTAAGGAGAAATTCATACTTACCATAGGCTTGAAATTTAGGAACTTGACTATAGTGTTTGGTGAGTTTTTGGGTCAAGACTAAGCATAAATCAATATGAGTGTGGTTAGTTTCAAAATCTTATTGTGATTATTTATTTTAATAGATTGCATTGATTTGGAAGCACGACGAAAACGGAAGACTCAAGTCCCAGAGTGATTGTTCGATTATTTAAGGCAAGTGGATTTCTAAACCCTTGTTAAGTGTATAAAATCGTGTATTTCCTTGTGGTATGTGTTGAAAAGTAATAAGACTTGGTAATGGGTTGACTTGTCCATATTGAATAATTCTAATGTTGAAAAATGGGTAATAAAATGCATTGTGATTAATGGTTGGTGTGTGATGTGTTGAGAATGGTTTGAAAGGCTTATTAATTAATTGTTCATGTTGTATCACGATTGTGTTGTTGTGAATTGTGCGATGTTATGAAAATGGTCATCTCCTCATTATTTGTGTGAACATGTCATTTGCATTGTTCTGAGACATGGTTGTGACAAGTGTTATGTGAATTGAGAAAGAATAAGAAACTAAAGAGGATATACCATTTCGAGGGACGTTTCACGCGCCGCGATGGATACTATTATCGAGGGACCTGTCGCACGCCGCGATGGATACTATTATCGAGGGACGTGTCGCACACCGCAACATATACTATTATCAAGGATCGTGTCGCACGCCGCGATGGATACATGGACATATATGTCCCCCATTGGTCCCGGACTGTGAGACAACAAGTGTGTATCATTAGGTCAGACATGCATCATTATACTTGACATTGCATTTCATTGCATTATACATCTTTATCATTGGTGAACTTGATCTTGTGTGTTGCTGATCTTGTGAGTGCCTTTCTGTGGAACTTGTGATTGATGAATATTGAGTTTGTTGTTGAGGATATCTAATTGTTAGAGTGGTGTTGTTGAGTTGTGTGCTATGTAAACTGTGAACTTTAACGTTGGGCTAGTTTTATGCAGGTTGTCGTTGTGGAGGTTCGAATGTGGTGTAAGGAGTACCCGTTTTCTATTCCCTTAGCTTGTGTTTAGAAGTTTACTTGCTGAGTACCGTGTGATTGGTACTCACTCCTTGCTTCCAATTTTTTGTATGTTACAATCCTGGATCTTTGTGATACTTTCTATTCTCTTCTTTTTCTCACGCTTCATGTGGAGATTTGTGAGGTAGTTGTTTGTCATCTCAGCGGACCTTATTTCACTTATTTATGATTTTATTCTATTCTAGAAACAAGGTCATTTGAGACTTGTATTTTCTTTCAATTTTGTTATAATACATTAGAGGCTTGTATACGTGACTACCAGGTTTTGGGGTTTTATTTTGAGTTGATTATGATTTCCGCATTAGTAGATGGTGTTAGTCTATTTTTCTTGTTTTACTTCCACATTCACCATATTAATTAGGTATTAGGCTGACTTGCCTTGGTGACATAAGACGAGTGCATCACGTCCATTTTTGGATCGTGACATATATTTGCTTCTTTCAATGCACTTTCTTGGTACTCTTCTGTGCCTAATAACTTGTCCACTTTTGAATTGATACACATATTAAGAAAACTATTATTGATATAGTGAGTTACCATTTTACCTCTATTAATTATGAAGTGGTTGAATTAAAATTTAAGAGTGTCAAGAAGTTCTGTATTTTTCAAAGTAATTAATTGAGGGTATAATAGGTAAATAAAATTTGTTCTTTATTGATTTGTCAAAATAGACAAGATATTAGGGATAACCTTCTTTGTAAGGGAATCTATATTCTCTTTGATGACTGCAATTGGGAACCCTCTACATCTAGACATGGCAACAATAAACAAAACTAGACCAAGTTGTGCTAGAGTAAAGGTTCAGGTTGATTTGTTAGTTGTTTTTCCGAAGTTTGTAGAGATGAAAATAGTGAACGAAGACACTAAGGAATCAAGAATAGAACGAGTCAAGATACATTATGACTTGCTGCCCAAATATTGCTTGCACTGTAAGGTTCAAGGCCATGCACAAGATGAATGTAGAAATCTACACCCCGAACTACATAGATCATTTACAAGAGATGACATTCAAGAAAATGGATTGGACAGTAAACAAGGGGACTACGGGGAACAACAGAATAATAAAGCAAAAAAGGAAATGGAGAACTATCAACATTTGATGAAAAGGATTACTAAGAGATATTGGCATCCGACCAGTAGAATGTTTGTGAAGGAAAATGGTGCTAGCATTAATGAAAAAGCTTATACCCCTGTTAAAAGGGCAGCTACGGGAAACACATTTGCCGCTTTAGGGTAGGAAGATAATGAAAGGGAGCATCATACTCAATATGAGAGGACTGATACACATGAGCAAGCACATAATAAGGAGGGAGAGAAAGTACAGCCCTAGGGGATTTCAAGAATATCAAAAGACAAGCAACTAGAGTCCACTAAGGACTGGATAACAAAATCTTTTGGTAAGCAACAAATGCAAACAACGCTACAACATAGCAGCATCAGTAGTACATCAGCACCAACCAAAGTTTTGAGCAGCATCAACATTACAGATGAGATGAATGATCAAGGTTTGTCCACTGAAGAAGCTGCAAGCAACAAGGGTAGGATGGTACTTGTCCATGAACAAGCTATTAGTAATGCAGACAATGAAAGGGAAGAGAGAGCAGTACCAATGAAGTTGAAGAGGATATCATGGCATGGAGATGGTTATGCACCAACAACATGACTCAGACATGCCTCATGTAAGTTATCCAGAGCCTCTAGCTGTGGCTTCATGGGAGGGGAACATATCAGAACCTAAACAGATACTGCAAATAGAAAATGGTATTATTGTTACATATGTAAACTGTCAAAAAAGTTTAGCACAAGTTGGGCCTAAAAAATCAACCCTTATCGAGACTCTTCATTCTATAGTGTCACATCAAGTACTACAAGATGATAATTTTGATAGCACACTAGGAGTTGTACACAAAGAAAAGGTACTGGAATCAGGAGTGGAAGATAGTGATGAAGATGATAGTGGCCAATTAGAATCCCTAATATGCAAGGAAGCTGGAATCTCTCCTCATGTGTTAACTAAAGGGAGAAAGATAAAAAGCAAGAAGGAATCTGACTTAAAGCCAACAAGGATACAAGTTAAGAGGGTGGGGAAAAATATTGTTAAATGATACACAAAGCATTATTTTGGAATATTAGGTCTGTGAGAACTCGCTTTTCATAGAGTTCAAATGTTAAACAGAGACCATAAGTTTATTCTTATTACATTGATGGAACCATTTCAAGACACTAGACAACTACAATGCTACAAAATAAGGTTGGGTATGCGATATATCAACTACAACACTAATGGGCAAATTTGGGTGTTTATTAAAGAAGGTACTAGTGTAGGTGTTATCTCAGACACAAAGCAACAATTGACATTGCAGTTAACTCTAGATAATGGGTATCAGTTCATGGTCACCATGGTATATGCTAAATGCACAGCTTTGGAAAGATTATGCTTATGGGAGGATTTGTACACTATTGGGCTCGACTTTTCATTGCCTTGGATGGTTGGAGGCGACTTCAATGTTATTATGGAGGAAGATGAGAAAATTAGTGGACTTCTTGTGTATCCACAAGAATATGAAGATTTTGCATTGTCTATTAATTCCTGTGAATTATTTGATCTTCATTTCATAGGTAATCCTTTTACTTGGTGGAAAGGTAAATCAGATGGAGAATGTATATTCAAAAGGCTGGATATGGTGGTAATTAACCAGGCCTTACAAGATTTGTTTGGTCACTTGGAGATTCAACATCTAGCTCGAACAGGATCAGACCATGCAAATCTCCAAGTGATGACTTTCTAGAGGTGGTGAAACAAAACTGGAATCTGAATTTTCAGATGACATATTTGTGCAGTGGAAATTGAGACTAAAGAAGACCAAATTAGCTTTAACTAGGTGGAGTAAAGCTAAGTATGAGGACATTTTTAAGCAATTGTTGATCAGAGAAGAAATTGTTAAAGTGAAAGAACATTTATTTGAAGAACATCTTACATCTCTGAATAATAGGGTTCTCCGACAGGCTCAGGAAGAATACAACCTATATTTGTACTATGAAGAAGAGTTTTGGAGACAGAAGGCAAGTATTCAATGGTATAATGAGGAGGACAAGAACACTAAATTCTTTCATAGACTGGTAAAGGGAAGAAGGAAAAGACTAGCTCTGCAGAGAGTGCTAAGATCATATGGCACTTGGGCAGAAGGGGAGGAGGAGGTTTTAGTAGAGGCAGTAAATTTTTTCCAGCATCAGTTTATTGGAGTGATTGTAGAGAGGATCTTAATTTAATCCATCTTATTAAGCCAACTATCAATAGAAAAGAAAATGCTTTGATTAAAGGCATACCTGAAGAAGAGGAAATTAAAGCAGTGGTGTTCAGACTAAATAGAGATAGTGCATGTGGACCTGATGGCTTTACATGTCATTTCTTCCAGAAGTGTTGGTCAATAGTAGGTCTAGATGTTGTTGGGATTGTTCATTCTTTTTTTAAGGGCCAGACTCTACCTAAATCGATTACTCATACTAATCTGGTCTTACTACCTAAAAAAGAGTTTATTCAAACTTTTTCAGACTCAAGACCTATTAGCTTAAGTAATTTCATTAATAAAATCATATCCAGAGTTATTCATGATAGATTGGAGGGTCTTCTTCCCAGACTAATCTCACTAAATCAATTAGGTTTTGTGAAAGGAAGAAATATTGCTTAAAATGTTTTGTTGGCCCAAGAAATTGTTTCAAATATTAGAAAAAGGGGGAAGCTAGATAATGTTGTGATCAAACTGGATATGGCCAAGGCACATGACAGGGTTAATTGGAGGTTCCTAACAAGTGTATTGGCTCAAATGGTTTTTGATGATGTTGTTTTAGATATGATATGGAGATTTCTGGCAAATAACTGATATTCTATTCTCATCAATGGGCAAGCTAAGGGTTTCTTCCACTCTACAAGAGAGTAAAACAAGGGGATCCTCTATCTCCTATTTTATTTATTTTAACTGTAGAGGTTTTATCTAAAGCTTTAAATAATTTATTTGATCACAATGATTTTAAATACTTTGGAATGCCTAAGTGGAGTGACAGGTTAAATCATCTGGCATATGCAAATGATACTATTATATTTGCAGTAGCAGAAAAGAAATCTTTAACCTTGATAATGAATGTATTGCAGGAATATGAAAAGCAATTTGGCCAGAAAATCAACAAGGAAAATAGCGTATTTTACATGTTCTGAATAAGGCAAATTTCCTTTGATGTATCTTGGATGCCCAATTGGACATGCCAAGAAAAGGAAATCTGACTTTACAGAACTGATCAAGAAGATGCAAAGTAAGCTTCATATTTGGAAAGGAAAGTTATTGTCCTTTAGGGGTAAGGCAATTCTCATTAACCATGTTTTGCAGAGCATGCCCATATACCTCCTGTCAGTTATTGTCCCTCCTAAAAGTATCATAAATGATATTCATAGAATGTTTTCTAAATTTCTATGGAATTTTAAAGAAGATGGGAGGGCAAAACACTGGATTACTTGGAATGACATGTGCGTTCCTAAGGAGGAAGGAGGTCTTGGTTTTAGGTTATTGATAGATGTCTCAAAAGCTTTATTTGCTAAACTTTGGTGGAATTTCAGGACCAAAAATACCTTGTGGTCAAATTACATGTGGAATAAGTATTGTAAAAGGCATGGTCCACAGACAGTAGAATGGAAAAGAGGATCTCAAGTTTGGAAGTTAATGCTTCAGGCTAGAGAATACATAGATCAAGAAATATGGTAGGAAGCTAGAGCTGGTCAGGCCAGTCTTTGGCATGACAATTGGACTCAATCAGGGGCTCTACACTTCCTGATGCCTATTTCACATACCATAAATCATGAATTTGTTGATGTAAGTTGTGTAATGGATACTAATGGGTGGAATCAAGATTTGTTAAAAGAGTTCTTCAATGAAGAGATATGTGAGCAGGTGAAAAAGGTACTGGGTATGGGTCAAATAACTGAAGAAAGAGATCAACATTGGTGGATGCCAAATAACAAAGGAAAGTTTACAGTGAAAAGTGCTTGGGATCTAATGAGACAGAGGAAGGAAATTCAACAAGACATCATGTTTATTTGGGAAAAGGGCATTCCTTTCAGAGTTTCTTTCTTACTTTGGAGAATGTGGTTTCAGAGAATCCCCATTGGTGAGGTTCTAGTTAGGTTTAACATAACAGACACATTTAATTGAGTATGTTGTAATAACTCTACACCGAAAACATTTGATCACCTATTTGTGTCCTGTCCAGATTCAAAGTATTTATGGGAAACATTTTCAGGAGCTGCTGGAATTCAAGGACCTTTCATTAAAATGAAGCAGACTATCTATCAATGGTGGGGGGAGGGGGGGAGAATTCAGCCCCAAGCTAAAACCATTGTTTAGACCAGTTCCTATATTCATTATATGACATATTTGGAAAAGAAGGAATAGAATCAAGCATGGGGAAATATGTCTAGACATGCTATGGTAAGAAAGGTCAACAGGAATATCTACCTAATGGCCACAACTAGATATCCTTGGCTATCCAACATGCCTACTCAATGGCCCCTAATTGTCAAATTCTTGGAAGATTACATTCCTATCCTATTTTGTAAAGTAGTGAAATGATTTGTCCTCCTGAAGGTCATTTTAAATGCAATACTGATGGATCTTGCAGAGATTAACTACACCTCAGTTCAAAGACATTTAGTGTGAGAAATAGCAATGGAGAATTGGTCTATGCAGAGATAGAAAGTGTGGAGTTATGCAGTATTTTAGAAGCAGAGGTGTGAGCCTTCAAAGAAGGATTGCAGTATTGTGTTAATAATAACCTCATGTCTCTAATCACGGAGACAAACTCTCTTATTCTAAAGAAAATCATTGATGAAATATGGGAAATACCATGGAGCATATCAGCGGACATAAGGTGCATCAAGAAGATGTTGAAGGATAAGGATGTGGTGATTCATATCTTTAGAGAGGGGAACTGTGTAGCAGATTGTTTAACTAATCATGTTTTTAGTTTTGCAGGAACAACAAGGATCCAGTTCTTATATAACACAGAACTACCAGCACAAGCAGGAAAATTGTTACATATAGATAAGCAGGGTATTCCTAATATCAGAATCAGAAAATGCCAAAACAGAAACTTCAACAATCAATGAAGCATAGAAGAGTGTATGAGAACAAATGACTAGTTCATACAAAAACATGCTTGAATATAATTGCTGCAACTCATAGCTACAGAAAAATGTAAGTCAAATATTCGTTTTAAAGATCAAAACGGAGAGGTTACCTGGTATACTTGAAATTTGAGGTAGTGGTATCAGCTCTTCGGAGCTCAACCTGCACAAATTGGGGGTTTATCAGTTACATCTCTCAAAATTGATCGAGTCAAAGGTGTGCTTCAGTTTTGGAGATTACCTTGATTGGATATGTCGGAAGAAGGATATGAGCTGAAGAAGTCTTCATAGGGTTGGATTCATGGCATTCATGAGAATTTTTGAATGCCCAGGATACCGCCCAAGCTCATAACTTTTTTTATTGCCCTTTCATCGAAGAAAAACCATTGGAGAAGCCTGATGCCGGTCGGAGAGGAAACGGATCAGCTGGGACTAGCACTGAAGGAGAAGACATTCCATTTTCAGTATACTTTGTCAATACAAGATGTGGGGTATTATGTATTTGGGCTTGGGTCACTATTGAACCAAAGCCATCAGATTATTTGTTCTTATTTTTTAATAAATGGGCTTGCCCCACACTTTAAATTAAAAATAAATAAATACTAACTACTGTTTTGATAAGTTTATCATTTATCTAACACAAATTATCTTTTGATATGATGGATGACAATTTTTACATTAAATAGTTAACAATTTACCTCATCTCCAATAAAATAGAAATGATAAAATTATATTGTAGTTGGGTACATGAAATAGTTATACTTTTATAACTTTTGATCCAAAAACATGAAAGGAAAATTACACCAGAGAAAGTATATAATAGTCTTACGAGTTACTATGCAAAGTATATACCACTTGAAAATGCTGAAGATTGGGCCCATGCTAAGCACATGTTATATATATATAATGTCGGTTTGATTTGAGTTCAGTTTGATTTTTTTTTCTTTTAATACCAAATTAAACCACAAATATTTTTTTTTCAATTTAATTTAATTATTCGATTTGATTTGATTTGACTTTACGATTTGGCTTGTACATTTGTGGTTGGTATACAAGTAGTTGTATAATACTTCAAAGGCTAGCCGCTCTAGTCCTTTAAAAGAGCACAGAAATATGTAAATTGTAGCTACGGCTCTAATTAATCACCAAATAGTTGTCAATGTCATCCTTTACATTCTCAGCCTCAGCTCTGCAAATGCAATTCACCGATTCGTCGAAATTTGCAATCCCATTTCCAACTCTCAGCTTCAAATGTCAAAAACATGTAATAATCTCAAGAAATGTGAAGTTAGGTTCCCGCATATTGCCAGCATTGAAATCTTCTGACCAAGAAATGGAAAACGAGGGTTCTTCTGAGATTGCAAATGGCCCATCTACCAGTTTCTTGTCTTTACTTTGCCCCTTGCTTAAACTCTTTTCAGTGAGTTTGTTCTTTATCAAATATTGATTTCATTTTTTTCTCCTTATTGAGTTAGGGTCTTCTTTGAGTTTTCGAGGACAAAAACTTAAACCTGTTCATGGGTGAGCGGGTTGAGTTATGAGAGTAACGAGTGATATTTAATGGTTGGAAAATACTGGTTTCTCTTTGGTAAGTTGGAAGCTGCAGTTTAATCTGGATTTATCTAACAAATCTTCAATTTAACATTTATAACACCAACTGCTTCCTGGGGATGTGTCTAGTTCAAGGTCGTGCATTATGCTGCTGATTCTATTTATCAATGCTTATCGGTTTCTTTGCTGCATTCTTCATGAAAAATTTATTTGACATTCTTATGTTTAATAATATAATCGGTCATCATGCAGGGAGGAGACCCCTCAAGCAAAAGAAACTATTTATTGGAGGTACCAACACATTATAAGTTCTTCGATTTGTTTTCCATTTTAAGTTCTGCAACTAACTATATATATAGTCACTCAACTTTTATTTGATTGGACCTTAAGTCATTATATTACTTTTTGTAATGAAAAAATTATTCCACTTTGTCTAACAAATATCATAGAAAGTCACTCAACTTTGCCTAAATATCACATAAGATCACTAGATCATTGAACCTACAGCATCTGTTCTTTGTAACCACAAGTCACTAAAATATTTTAATGAGGTATGATGCTTAGACATAACTGAGTAGCTTTTTTGTTTTAAAAAATAGATTACTGATTACTGTGTTGCTGACATAAAGTTGAGTGACTTTTTCGTTACAAAGAAGTGAAAGTTGAATGACCATCTTTGTAGTTAAGCGCTGTTATTTGTGCACTCTAACTCTTCTATAGATGTTATTGTCTACTGGTAATGCAATCAGTATTTATTGAGAAGTTATTTGAACAGGAAAAAGAATTTGAGGTTGAAAGACAAATGGAATGGAAAAAAGAAATATAATGGAGCTAATCTTGGATTGATGTTCTATTTGTGGGTATTTCTGGCAAAAAGAAAAGGGGATAGTAACATATACATCCGCAAATGTTTAAGAATCTCTGTATAGACTACTGTTTAGTAGTTGGATTTGTAATTAAGCTGCAAGTTTGTATCCATGAAGTTATCTTGTCCTTAGCATGTTACTTCTCAGGATTACCTGCTAATCTAGTAGATATGCAGTTCACAATTTGCTTGTACTTCTCTTTTTATTTCCTTCCTGCTTTTCATAAATTTGAGCTACATTAATAGTATGGAGATTCTACAATTTTTGGAAAACTTTTGTGTTGGATCTTTAGATAATTATGTTTGAAAGAAGTCGAATTTAACTGAAAAAAGACATTAATGCCATTTTCTACAAAATACGATTTAAAGAAATGTAAACATGAGAGCTGCATGAATCATGTGAAGGGAACCAAGAATGAAGGATGATAAATAAGCACAAAAAGATCATGAAATGCAGTAATGAAAATCAAAGACTTAAGGATGAGGAGTTAAATTTTTCACCAGTTATTGACCTCCCAGGCCAAATAATCCTGGATTTTGCAGAAATTACAACAACAACATACCCAATGTAATTCCACAAGTCGGGTCTGGGGAGGGTAGAGTGTAGGCAGACCTTACCCCTCCCTACCTTGGGAGGTAGAGATGTTGTTTCCAGTAGACCCTCGGCTCAAGGAGATTTGAAGCAATTAACAACTTTTAAGTTTATAAATCAATTCATTTACTTTGTAGTTAACTTTGATCATGGTAGCTTTGAATATTTATGAATTTCACCTATTTCAATATATGACGTATTGGATATTAAATAAGACAACAGAAGTGACAATTGGTACTTTATTAACGACCCTTGATCAGCAAACAATTAGCTTACTTGTAATAGAAGTTAAACCTAGGATTTTCCTTAGAGAAGTATAGACTTTGCTGATGTATGTGCACAACCCTTGAACACTTGGATTCATTAATCAGGAAAAGACGAATAAGAAAAGAGAATTGATTGACAGTTTTTCATACTGTCTTTCTGAGACAGCATGGCGCAGGTTAGATAGAATTTTTGAACTTTGTACCATCAATTGTGCCCATCTTACAGTTGTTTATCTGACATAATTATAGGTATGTTTGCATAGTAGTTGTTAACCTTCTAAATGAGTTGATGGTATGTTTGCATAGTAATTGTTAACCTTCTAAATGAGTTGATGGCTTAATTTGTTTTAGCCTTTCATGCTTCACTTAATCCTTGAGTACCTATTTCTTGTAGGAAGCAACATCTACGCTTTCTACCTTGGCAAGACTCCCATGGGGTTCACGAGTACAATATGGTACATTAGGCAGTAAAGATGGGACTAAAGTTAATCCTCCAATGCACCTTCAGATCTTTGAATTCGGTGAGCATCTCTCCGTTGTGGGCTAAGCTTAAATCATCTGCCCCCTTGGCTTATAATCCCGGATGTTAACTAATATAAATATTACCAGTGGTCCCGTATCTGTGAGATTTGATATGCTGAACTAATCACATTACTGAAATCTCAAAATCTTGAAAGTATTGTTTTTCTCGTACACGCATTAGAAAAAACAGAGTAGGAAACGTTAACTCTTAGCTTTTAATACTCATATGATTAGTGCTGAAGATACTGTTTCAATGCTTAAATTTAATAAATACCCAGCTCGTCATCTAACAGTTCACATATTTTTTAACCTAAAATGAAGTGGTAGACCATTGTTTCGTAGTCAGTTCAACTTGAAAAAACTAGCTGATATTGTTAATAAGCTGCTTTTGAAGTATTCTCACGTTTCTCAAGATATGCACACTTTAAATTTGGAAATCCCTAAAAGTGTGGATAAAGGCAAACTCTAAATTGATTGTAGGAGAATACAAAGTTAACCTTTCATACACATCTAAATATGAAACCTATTACGAGCTTTCGTTAAGGGGTGTAGTATCCACATATAACTCGTGTAATGCTATGCCTAAATGCATGTGTTACTTCATCATGGAATAACTCAGGTTCTTATAGGAATTGTCAACAGAGGCATGCCCATTTTGCAGAAGGGTTAGGGAGGCAATGACCGAACTTGATCTGTCTGCTGAAGTGAGTATACTCTTACCTAGATCTAATTTGATAATCCTCATCTCCGCATACATGTTGTTTTAGTAATTTTGTTCTCCGGGCCAGCTTGAGCGCGTTTGACTAATTACGTGCACTACATACTACCTTCCACCAACATAGGCAATGAGTAACTCTATCCACCAAGGTTTTCCTTGTAGTCCATGGTATTTGACTTTGGGGAAGCTCATTCCTTGAATGGATCATAGCTTATACAAGGACAATCTTTGTAAGAAGGACCAAAGCACACTGAAAGATACAATTCATGGAGAGTAAAGAAATAGAGCAAAGTTCAGCGAACCAAGTACCTGTATCTTACCCTTTCAAGGAAGGGGAAAAATGACATTATACAACATATTTAAATAAAAAATTGTAAAGATAAGACACTTGGGCCTAACTCAATCCCAAAGGCTAATTAATGAAGGGAGGATTGGCCAAGTCTATATAAGCAGACCACTGTCCATTCCCCAACCTATGTGGGACTCTAACCCACTCTAACAAAAATAAACAAATCCTACGACATATGGAAAGAAATCACCTAGTGGATTTTGACATAAGACCTTGTGGTTCTCAATCTACTTTATTTATCACACTCTTGGGCGCTCCTTATATATGTGGTATGAGCTTTAAATATTTTGAAGTGGTTCATTAGTCTAAACTATGTGATGTCCACACTGAATTTTTGATGTCCCATAATCTTGTGAAAAAATGTGGGTATCTCACTTGTGTTGGCTGAGTTGGAGCACTTTGAGAGACATTGGGATTTCGGATACTCTAGGCGTTTTAAAGTTGAGGAGGTGAAGCGTGCTATTAGTAGGATGAGCAGGGGAAAAGCGATAAGACCAGAAGAGATCCTGGTGGAGTTCTAGAAAAGCACAGTTAGAGTAGGTTTGGAGTGGTTGACTAGCCTATTCAATGTCATTTTTAAGACGACAAAGATGCCCGAGGAATGTAGGTGGAGCAAAATGGTCCTTTTGTTCAAGAACAAGGGTGATATCCAGAATTGCAACAACTACATGGGTATTAAGTGGTTAAGTCACACTATGAAAGTTCGGGAGAGAATGGTGGAGATGAAGTTAAGGAGGGGTGTGTCCATTTCTCAGAATCAGTTTGGGTTCATGCCAGGGTGATCAACCATAGAAGCTATCCTTCTTGTGAGGAGAGTGATGGAGAAATATAGAGAAAGGAAGAGGAACTTACATATGGTGTTCATTGACCTTTAGAAGGCCTATGACAAATACCGAGGGAAGTCTTGTGGCATGCCTGGAGGCAAGAGGTGTATAGTGGCCTACATTAGGGCAATAAAGGACATGTCTGGAGGAGCTAAAACGTGGTAAGAATGGTGGGAGGAGATTCAGAGCACTTTCCTATGGAGATGGGTTACACCCGGAATCAGCTATTAGTCTGTTTCTATTTGCCTTAGTGATAGATGAATTGACACGAAACATTCAAAATGAGGTGCCTTGGTGTATGTTGTTTGCGGATGACATAGTACTGATTGATGAGACTCGCGATGGAGTTAATGCTAAGTTAGATGTGTGGAGACAAACTTTGGAGACTAAATAGTTCAGGTTGAGCACGACCAAGACAGAGTATGTAGAGTGTGAATTCAGTGATGCGAGACATGAGGTAGGCGTGGAAGTGAGATTTGACACACGAAATATCCCCAAGAGTGATAGATTCAGATTTGACACACGAAATATCCCCAAGAGTGATAGATTCAAGTACCTTGGGTCTATAATTCAAGGGGGTGGGGACATCGATGATGATATCACACATCGTATTGGTGCGGCGTGGATGAAGTGAAGACTTGCCTTTGGAGTCTTATTGATAAAAAGGTACCACCAAAACTCAAAGGTAAGTTCTATAAAGTGGTTGTTAAACCGTCATTGTTGTATAGGCGGAGTGTTGACCATTGACCAGTTAAAAACTTTCATGTCTAGAAGATGCATGTTGCGGAGAAGAGGACGCTGAGGTGGATGTGTGGTCATACTATGACTGATAGTAATAGACATGAGGATATTCGGAATAAGCCAATAAGGTGGGAGTGACCTATGTGGTGGACAAGATGAGGGAAGTGCGATTGAGATGGTTTGAACATGTGAAGAAGAGATGCATTGAAGTGCGAGAGGTTGGTTATAGAGGATATGAGGAGAGGCAGAGGTAGTCCGAAAAAGTATTGGGAGAGGTGATGAGACAAGATATAACCTAGCTTCAGGTTACCGATGGCATGACCTTAGATAGGAGGGTGTGGAGGATACGTATTAGGGTAGAAGGTTAGAAGGTACTGCAGTATTGTCTTGCTTGTGGTGATTGGTCTTTGTCTTTGTACTAGGGGTATTAAAACTGTTTAGTATGCTGTTTAGTGTGTTCCGACTATCGCACTATTGTATTGTTGATTTGCTTCTTTCTGTTAGATTTTGCACTACTTACGTGTTACTTGCTATATTTTCTTCATTGGCTCCTTTTTTGTACCTGGATTTGCTGCCAAGGGTATTTCAGAAATAGCCTCTCTACCTCCACGAGGTATTGGTAAGGTCTACGTACATTTAACCCTCCCCAGACCCCACTTTTGAGATTTCACTGGGTATGTTGTTGTTTCCTTTGAGGAAAATTCTTTTTTTTCATGTTGGAACGAAAGAGTATTGTTTCTTGATCATGTTAAAATTTTCTAGTTTTGGTTTTGATTTTTCCAGATGTATCAGAAACATTTTAACTTACCCACCCTTTACCTGCTGCAATTTTTTTTTCTATAGAGTCAGAAGAAACATATGCAAAAAAAGCAATGCCAGCTTTTATGGTTTCAGTTGCATAACTCGATTCCTTCATTCGTTTCTTTGAGTATGATTTCTCCAGAAAAGAGAAAAATGCATTTGTTACAATGACGTAGTTCGTTAGTAGCTTTTGGAATATAGATACAACCATCATTAGTTATGACGATAACATTGCTAAGTGTTGAAGAGTCACCCTCTCTGTTCCAACTTACTATACAATGCCTACCATTTTAGGCAGAGCTAGACTACCCAAGTATTTGATCCTTTTCCCTAATGGATAAGTTTCCATACATTGATATAGGTACCACTTGATTTCTTCGTTTTCCAAAAAGAACTTTTTGAGGAACTGTTCCCCCACCTTCACGCTTTTGGGTACTTTTTTTCCAAGTAGTAATCCATGCTGATTCCATAATAGATTATTTCTATAACAAAAGAGACTCCAAGATAATATTCAATTCACACTTTCTCTTCATCTCCATGGTTGTCAAAACAGAATTAAAGTCAAATAGAAGGAAGTATTCATTAGCCAATTTACCTAATTGCATTATTTGCAAGTTAAGACCAGGAGAGCAGTTGGTTTCTTGTTCTTTGTGATTTTCCTCAAATGAGGGTTGTAGGGTTTCAGTTTAGACAAGATAACTTGAGGACATAGAGGGACTATGAGTCTATCTATGTATGGACTGGCTCTTGGTTTTTGTCTCTCTCTCTCTTTTTTTTTTTCTCTTTAATCAGTAGGTTTGATTGTTGGTTTTGGAATGTTATAGTGTCTTTGCAAGATATATCAAAATTCAAATTGACTTGTGTATCGAGCGTTCAAATAGAAGCAACAAAAGTTGAGTGAGGCTTTCTTCTTCCAATTTTGGAGGTGTAGGGAATTTGAATCTACACCTTTTATACTGAAGCAATTTCATTTTTTTTCCCGCCTTTATTGAGCACTGCAATTTTTCTTATGTAGGATCACCAGATTAGCAAGATTTGGGAAAATCCATTTTTTCAGTATCATTGTAATTATTAGGTTTTGTTAGAAGCTGTACACTTGTACAGGTACATACAATTAGCGATGTGCCTATCATCGAGCTAGATGCTATCTCAATTAAGAGATCACCAGCATCTATTTGGAGAATCAACCTTGTGATAGTCTTGGTAATATTGGTGAGATGACCTGGACCTGAAATACATGGGCTTCACGCAAACTAGCTAAATCAAGTCTTGTCCTCAAAAAAGTTCTCAATTTTACACTCAGATATTTTCTTTTGGAGATCCCAAGGGTTGCTGGCTCACAGTGTCAAAAGGTGGAAATTCAGCAACATAGTTGCATATGCTTTTAAAGAAGAATTAGTTAGTAAAATTTGGTTAACCCTTGCTTTCAGTTACATTTTTTGTAAAACCTTGCCATTAAGTTATGTAATTATATAAAATAGACATATCATCTAACCTGAAACTTTCCATTAAACATGAAAAGCTGCAAATCTTCCAGCTACTCAAATGTATTTCTCCTGAAAAATTTAAGTTTTAATACTTTAAAGTGCACTATGAATATTGAAAATATCATTTTTGTGTTCCACACAATGCTACGGATGAATACGGAGCATATAGAGGTGTTATGAAGTGCGTATCAATGTTTGTAGGTAAGTCGCGTGGGAGGAAGATCACAATAAGGAAGGAAGAATTTTATTTTTTAAAAAAGAAATATAACAAATGCTAGGTTTGCCATGCCCAATGTTTCGACGACGCGAGCCATTGCGCCGGTGGGCTTGGCAAAGCAGAGGGACTTCTGGGTGACACATAGCGGTAGCTCCTTAAGAAGCAGAACTTAGGTCACCAGGCGTGATGGGCTTGAGGCGTGCGACCGTGGCTATAAATAGCAAAGTCAGGGCAGCCATTATTTTGTCCAAATTTTGGCTAAGTGGTGGAACTTTATCAACCCCATTTCACCTATTCTTCAACATTTACACTCAATGTAACTTTTATGTGATTAGAGTCCTAACTAACACTGGAATTGCTAGATTTCAAGAAAATCTTTCTAGAACTCTAGAAGAGGAAAGGTTTTCTTCAAGAAATTAAATCTAAACTCTACGTAGGTTTTTGTGGATTGTTAGTGAGTATTTATGCTAGAAATAAATGTTTGTTGGAGTTGTTGGTGGATGGGTGACCATAGATGCGGAAATCTAAATATGCATTTTACTGCATTAATGAAGTTGTTGGGTCGAT